ATTTATGGAGCCCTTAACATGACATGAAATATATAAATATATATATATATAAAAAGCATTCCCACAACTTAATTCGTTCCCTCGTTTTAGTTTAAATGTGGTCACGAATTAAGAATTTGCGGTGTTTTAATTTGTTCCCTTATTTTAATTAAATCAGAACGAGGGAACAAATTAGGACAACGTGGCCACGATTTACTAAAACAAGGGAACAAATTCTTAATTTGTGGCCACGACTGAACAAAAACGAGGTAACAAATTATTAAAATGAGTGAATAAATTAATAAAACAAGGCAAAGTATGAAAAAAAACAATGGAACAAATTTTTAGCCACACTAAATACATTTTTATCCACATGTCATGTACAGGGCTCTGTACATATTTAACATTTATCTATTTTTACAGTTAGATTAGCTTTGCTGGCATCTAATACCCACAAAGTTGATCTTCAAAAACACAAATAATTTATTATTACTGTTGGATGCAATCTTTAGCAAATCTCATAATTAATATCCATTTTTCATACTGTACATTATAACACTGTGATGCATAAATTCACTTTTAGCATTTACAGTGACTGATTTTAGTTTTATTGTTTTATTTTGTAATTTATTTGTTTAGACAAAATATTACAGAATGAATACAAAAAAAATAATGATGTGTTTTTGGTCTTATTGTGCATGATTTATTGCACATAATATACAAACAATAAAATATAATAAGTTTAATATAACAAAACGCATGAAATTAGACAACAATGAAAAACATCTGTTTGACATTTAGAGTAAATATCTCAAAAGGAGTGTGCAGCAGGTCTAGCAGATCCTGCAAGAATAAAATAAAAAAGATGCACACACAAAGGTGTTGGGAATTGTGAGGGGTAAGAGCGCTGTGATTACTGCGGGGTCGAACAGCTGGAGGGGGCTGAACGCCTCCATTACTCACAGAAACATATCAGACTTGCTCGGCTACCACCAAACTTAATTACCCTCCGCATATATCACCACTCTGTTTCACGTCCACAAAAGTATCCAAACAATGCTGCCACTGCCGGTGGTTTGATGCCTGGGTCACTGGTGTCCTATAGAAGTAAATGAGATGTCAAGAAATTTGATGTCTGGCTATATATAAACCTGTCTATTCGCTAGGAGAAACTTGTTGTCTGGCTCTTGGCATGAATAAGGTATCATTTGTCTAATTACAGGGCAAAATAAGTGCAATAAATAAAAAAAGATAACTTTTAAAAGTGCGGCTAGTAACAAGGCTTGTCCGTATGCGTGTTGGATGACTGCTAATGTGTTAAGTTCCTTTATTGGCAATGCCAAAGGGCACATGGGTTTGATTCCCAAGAAATACATGAACTGATAAAAAGTCAATAAAAATGCAATGCAGTCACATTACAAACAAAATAATCGCTTTTTAACTTTAACCAGATTTATCTGCTTCAACTACATGCTTTTAGCTTCATGCTTCCCATGTAGCAAAATGATTGACTAGCAGAAAAGTCTTCTGATTAGGTCTAATTTTTACATGCATTATTTAATACATATATTTTAAACTTGTAAAATAATGTGTTTTACGCGTACACTAACATTCAAAATGTTTTGGACATTTAAGTCGCCGAAACTCACCAAGGCTGCATTTATTTGATTAGAAGTATACTGTAAAAAAGTAAGTCATGGCAACTTGTGTTTTTACATTACATTTATTCATCAAAATAAGTTGAGCAATTTCAACTTTTTTTTTTAGAAGTTATATGAAATCCAACTTGATTGGTTTAAAGTAATTTAGGCTGAAATGACAAAGCCAAGTTGTTTATGCTAAAAAAAGGTAAGGAAGCAACTGAACTTAGACTTTTAAGTTGAAACAGGAGGAAAAATTTTTTACAGTATACAGTAAACCCAGTAGTATTATGAAATATTATTACAATTAATTTTATTTCTTAATATTATCAGTGTTGAAAACAGTTGTGTTGCGTAATATTTTTGTGGAAACAGTGATATTTTGGAGATTCTCCAATGAATAGAAAGTTATTTAAAACAACATTTAAAAACTTGTAACTTTAAATGTCAAACTTTTTTGCTGAAAAATCATGCCATACATATCACAAATTCATCTGTAACTTAAAATCCATTCTTCATAATTCTAGCTGTCAGCCAGCCAGATAATTTTACATAATAATAAAAAATAAATTTTTGCAGCCAAATGTTAAAGTTTGCAAGGCATAAAAATACATGTACATGTAAGATACAGTGCTGATCTTATAGAACAAGTGACAGTTCCCTTAACTGGGCTAAAACGCTTTCAATGGCTACAGACCAGTGGACCATCCTTATTGTTGAGCCATTTTGCTGCTGAATCAGCAAAATGTTGTTTGCATTGGGCTGTCGACAATAAGCAAATACTCTCAGACCTAGTATGTGAACAACCAGTTCAAGTGTGCATCAAACCACACCACAGCTATGAAGCTCAAATGTCAAAAAACAACAGGAAGCAGAAATCTCATTTAACATTAGGACCGTTAACCCAGAGCTGACAAACCATCAAAAGGTGAACGCAGGCTCAGAGATTCAGACAGCTTGCCTCTGTTTGGGTAAACTCAGCAATATTTTCCTCTCACTTTTTCATAGCCTTTATTTTATCCCACAGAAGGCGGCGCAAATCCTCGCCTTCTGCAGTCTATCAAAGTGGGCGATTATTGTTGCTAGGTAACAGCATGTCATAGTTGAAGTCGGCTTTACTTTGGAGTGGCTCTGCTTTAAATGTGAATGTGCTGAGGCGGGTTCCCTACGGGGCAGGTGCGCACAGGTCACATGACTGGCTGTTGACTCGTAATGAGATTATGAGCAATTCTGTGAATCTCAATGTAGTAGCTCCTTTTCCCTCCATCAGAAAAGTAGCTGCTAACGTGAAGATAAGAGTGCAGGAGGGAAGAAATACCTGGAAGAATTAATGCAAATTGCAGCTGAATGGGGAATAGAGGAGAAACAAGAATGAATAAAATTGTAATTTAACAGATTGTTTTTCTACCTGGAGGAACAGCAAGAACTGCTTAGAGACTCTACAAAACAATGCGTGTCCCTCATCCGAGAGGGGTGGACTGTGGTTCATCAGGTCACGAGCAAATCAGTTCAGATCAGTACAATTAAACCAGGACAGTGTAATTACACAGGTCAACAAACACCAGATGCATTAAGGCAAATAAAAGCTGGCTGAGTTGAGGAGAGATTTAATCAGTTTAGTCAATTAATCTTGAAGACAGGTTGATTAAGTAGAATGAGGTTCTTATTTGCTGATTAAAAACTAGCATTTCATTAAAAAGCCATTAAAGTCACTAGCTGACTATTTAAAAGCTACAGTCTTGGCATTTCACAGAGGACTGACTGAAAATGGGATGAAACGTAAATGACTTCTGACTCTTCATTTATTAAAATTAAAGAAGAAAGTTCACCTAAATTCACCTAAAATTCGCAATTTGTTTTTGAAAATGTTGTACTTTGACATATTTCTTGTATTGAACACAGAGATTCTGAAGAATGTGCTGCTCATTCTTTTTTTTTAGAAAAGCTAAAAAAGTATTTTCCTGTAAAACATACTCCATTAATTTAAGTCTTATTCCACAACTGTTTACAAAATAATTTTTAGAGTATATTCAAGGTCTGTTCTTCTTTGTTTGAGGAGCAGCCTGAAACGTAAGTCATAATTACAGAAAATATGGCTGATTTGTAAAAAATAAATAAATAGATAAAAAAAATTAATCTTTGAGTCAAACCTTTAAATCCCATCTTCAAAGTCTAAATGCTTTGTTTACGAATCATTTTGATCAGACGAATCAGACTGAGTTCAACTCATAGATGAAGTGGCTGCAGCAGTTAACTTCTCAGTAGAGGAAATTATGAGTGAATATGACTGAAATTTGAAGGGGTTTTTTTTTTAGAAAAGCTAAAAAAGTATTTTCCTGTAAAACATACTCCATTAATTTAAGTCTTATTCCACAACTGTTTACAAAATAATTTTTAGAGTATATTCAAGGTCTGTTCTTCTTTGTTTGAGGAGCAGCCTGAAACGTAAGTCATAATTACAGAAAATATGGCTGATTTGTAAAAAATAAATAAATAGATAAAAAAAATTAATCTTTGAGTCAAACCTTTAAATGAATCCCATCTTCAAAGTCTAAATGCTTTGTTTACGAATCATTTTGATCAGACGAATCAGACTGAGTTCAACTCATAGATGAAGTGGCTGCAGCAGTTAACTTCTCAGTAGAGGAAATTATGAGTGAATATGACTGAAATTTGAAGGGGGTTTTTTTATTACACAAAGCTGTCATATGGTAGAACACTTGGGATATAATGTACCAGTCATATGGATCGCTTTTGTAATTATATGGAAAAGGGTGACCAGCACATTTTTTCAAAATTTCTCCTTTTGTGTTCTACAGAAAACAAATCATAGGGTTTAGAAACAACAAAAAGGTGAGTAAATGACAATTTTCATTTTTAAGGTGAACTATTCATTTTACTGGCATAAACTGAAGTGATATGAACTCTGTTTTAATGCGAATCTATATCAGTGTCTAAAAAAAAAACTATCTAAACCTTAATTCAGTGAAAATACAGATTATGTAACAGAATGCACAAAAATTGTGAACGATACTTGATACAGCAATTCCAAAAAGATATTTTGAAAGTTTAACATCCTTCAATAATTTAACATTCAAACTAAACCTGTTGTAGCACAGGGCTTCAGTAGCAACATTTCATTTAGTAGCTCCTGCTGCAAACACTACAAGTTCATCTCATCTGAGCACAAAATCAATCCAATCTTGATTCATTGGTTCTCAGTGAATGCATTAGGACAGAATTTAATGAGTCTGGTAATTACCTTGTTTTCCTGCAAAAAGTATTAGGAGGAAATTCTTGGGATTCCAGCATTTAAACCCAAAAGGGTTCAGAGCCCCTCATTAGAAGCTCATTCCTAAATTAGGCGGGTGATAGGCATACCTTGACCTCGATGAAATCTGGCTGTCCAAGGGCGATGAGATCTGAGTAGGCCTTCAGCTCATCCACATTCCAGGCCTTCACCAGGGTCAGCCTGTACACCGTACGCTGTTGCTAGAGAACGAAACACAAGGAGGAGCTGTCAAATTACTGCTTAATTAAACCAACACACCTGGGCTTGAGAATATGAAATGATATCCGCAACACACTTATATAATCTGATGTATTTCTCAGTGAAGCCGTACAGTCAATGGGGAAAAAAGTGATTTCATCTATCACAAAAAGACTACAAAGGCAATTTTTGTCCCTTGGAATAGCATACACTATTTGTAAATGACTGAGATGAGGATTTGCTTGTGAAATTATATTGACAGAATCAGTGGTCAACATTTTTTCCATGGCTGTATTATATGCAAAAACACAGGATGGATTATATAAATATTTTAGTAATAGACCATTCTTGAGACTGCTGAAATTTAACATTACACAAAACTGAAATAATTCATTAGATAATTCATTCCTAAATAATTCAAAATTGCACTTTTTTAAAATAAATATTTACCCACACATGCACTTAATTCAATAAGAATGTGACTAACAACAAATCACTGCAAAATAACACATGAAAGTGAAGAATTATTGACAGAAATGTACTGCTATTGTATAGTATCCTAACTAAGATTTAAGATTATTATTATTATTATTACTTGTTATTTTTACTAATAATAAAATAACAATTATTATTAACAACAACAACAACAATAATGTATTAATAATAATAATAAATAACAAATATGTACATTATATATATTATTACTGCTACTGTTATTAATAAAAGTAAAGGTAAATATTAATTATTATTATTAAGAATAATTCTACCCCTATTGCTATACAAGTCCAAGTATTATGTGAATAATGGAGTTCAAGATGTGTAAGTGAATACGTTATGACAAATATAACAACCAAATAGCATGAAAATGAATCCCACAAATCTGCCAACATTTACTGATGGTGACAGCTTAGCGAAACATGTAATGTACTGAAGGCATAAAGTAAACAGCACATCCCATGACTGACAAATGCTTAAAGTGGGATATTCCATTTCCAGCTATTACATCAGCAACATAGGCAAAGCTCTGTGTCAGGACTTCATCACTCTGAGTTTTCACAATAAGGCAAGCCTCACTGTTATTATTGCACATACTAACATGCAGAAAGCCATTAAAGCCATCTTAGGGCATATGGTTGGTTTCGACTTCTATGACATCCTGTCCACGTCACATACACTGATCAGACACATTAAAACCACCTGTCTAATGGCGCTTTTCCACTGCATGGTACGGCACGGTACGGTTCACTTTTTGGGGGTTTTCCACTGGGTACAGTACCTGGTACCTGGTACTTTTTTTAGTACCACCTCGGTTGGGGTTCCAAGTGAACCGTACCATTACCAAACCGTGACGTGTAAACTCTGCTGATCACGGATTGGCCAGAGAGAATCATCACTACCCGCATCACTGAACTTGTGACACAAACACAAAAGAACCGCTAGATTTAAATCAGCACAACCAGAGAAGGATCGAACGCAACTGTTTTGAACGAGCGCACTTTTTTTTTAACAACCAAAAGGTTTTGTTGTCTGTTGCGGAAGAACAGACGTTCCTCTCGTTGATAGCAGACGAGCGGATCCAGCGAGAGCTTGATGGGGCGACGCGGAATTAAAACGTTTTTTTAGGAGTCGTGGTAGTAGAGGTGGCGCAACTATAAC